GTCTCCACTTATTGTAAAATCTTTACAATGAATGACTGATGATGAATTTCTCTGAGGGACTACCACAAGATCGGGGAACTTGTCCTCAGTAATGCAGGGACAGACATCCAACTGGTGGAGGTGAATCAGAACCCCCTCATTCAGCGGCACAATAACGGGCAGAAGAAGCAGGAGCTCTCTGTGCTGCTTCAAGGCTCTGCCTCACCTCCAGTGGTTCTGGTGTCAGAACCTGCTGAACCTCCCACAGCCCAGCAGGAACATCGATACAGGCTGCTGGAGAACACAGCAGGTCAGGCTAAGCAGAGGGAGACACCCCATTGTGTTTATTTACAATCAGACAGTTCTGCATTTCGTTCATCTTGAAGTGAACACATGTATTTTTTTCATTTTTTTCCCCCCATATTTGCTATTCCAAGAATGTTCTCTTCTTTCCTTTAGGCTTTGAAAGCTATGGTGGAGGACAAATATGAGGAATCCAAGGAGAAAGCCAAATCCTTGGTGTTGAAGGCTTCAGCAGTTAGCTTAACATCAGATATGTGGACCTCTATAAACACCGATGCATATCTCGCTGTGACATGCCATTTTATAGATGCAAGCACCTCTTTGCAGTCAGTTTTAAGGGGGCTGTATTTCCCTGAGGCACATACTGCTGAGAATTTGGCACAAGTAAAAGCAGCACTTATGTCACAGTGGGGTATTACAAACAAAGTTATTTGCCTTGTGACTGAGCAGCAAATATGGGGGCTTGTGCCAAGGAGCTTTGTTTGCGTCAAATTGTGTGGTGCATACTTTGAATTTACTTGTAAAAAAGGCAGATGATAAAAGCCGTGTGCTGTCATCTGGGCAAACTCAAGGAAGATAGTGGGCCATTTAAAGAGCAGCACCACTGCAAAGCTGAAGTTCTTCATTTCATTGCAATTTCCTAAATGACACAGTTTTGTGCTGCTGCAGTGACACTTGCATTGATCACTTTTTGATTGCTAATTTTCGAGGAGAGGCTGACACAGGTGCAGGAGCAAATGGGACAGCCAACACTGAAGCTGGTTCAGGAAGTGGGCTCACGTTGGAACAGCACATACCAAATGCTCCAACGTGTTTATGAGC